AAAAATTAAGTAAATCTTCTCACCAACTGCCAAGTTTTATACCATCTGTATCAGGTTCAAGCCCTCTAGTGGTGGATACGAGTTATCTTTGATTTGCATGTAGTTACAATTTCATGATGAACTCAGGATATTTTTCTTCTAATTATCAATTAGAGATTCAGACTATGTACAAAAAATTATTTAATTAATTTTTGAGTCTATCAATTAATCCTTTTTTCATACACCATAGAAGTACCCTTTTACATTGGTTTGAAGAAATCACTTCATAAAAACGAATAACAATAGGTAAAATTTACAATTAAAAATGATCAGACGTCAGCCTTTCATTTTAGGTATCTGACGCCTTAACATAAAAAAATTAAGTAAATCTTCTCACCAACTGCCAAGTTTTATACCATCTGTATCAGGTTCAAACCCTCTAGTGGTGGATACGAGTTATCTTTGATTTGCATGTAGTTACAATTTCATGATGAACTCAGGATATTTTTCTTCTAATTATCAATTAGATATTCAGACTATGTACAAAAAATTATTTAATTAATTTTTGAGTCTAATAATTAATCCTTTTTTCATGCACCATAGAAGTACCCTTTTACATTGTACATAGTCTGAATCTCTAATTGATAATTAGAACAAAATTATGAAATTGAAATCTATCAAAAATTCACAAAGAAATCTTACAACTTAAATTTGCCTAACCATCACCAAGAAACTTCTATGTCATCAGTGGAACTTGAAAGCCTTGCTTTAATCTTGCTTGATCCTTAGCATCACCTCATTTGATCTTGAGCTTCACATTCTTATAGTGTGATTAGTGACATTACATGATTACGCCTACTCGACCCTATTTTACATACATAAGTGGCTAACATTTGTTTAATTCTAGTAATCTCTTTTTAAGTCATGTCATTGTCCTTACATTTAATCTTTCATAATTTTTCATTGTGCCTTTTTGTGACAATTTAAGATGGGAGATCAATCTTTTAATTTCCTGTGAAATTCTCTCCCTGAGATGTCATTTCTAGGTTTGATGACGTAATTGGTTTCCACCAGCAGTCATCATAGAAAAGTAAATTTTAGTTTTAAAATTTTGCCTGGGTGAGGTATGGTAGTCTATCTTTAATGAAATAAAATACTCCTAAATAAATAGAATAATGAACTAAAAGTAATCTCCAAACAAAAATAAAATGGTTCAGAATTGACTCCTTACAGTCTTACTGTGTAAACTTAAAAGCAAAATCTTATTATTTGCAATAATTTTAAGATAAATTCTAATTAGTTGAAAATGTAAAATGATCTTTAAAATTAACCAAAATCCTATTAAGCTTTATTGTAGGAATCAAATAATTTTCTAACTAAGCACTTTTGAGAAATATTCTTCTATCCTCAGAATTGTCTCATTCTTAAATGGAAGTTGTATCTACAGTAAAATTTAACAGAATTTTAATATAAATAAATTTTAATCTCACTTCAACTAAAAATATAATTGAGTAATATGATAAGATGAAAATATTAATTTATAAATTTATTTTCAGTTAATGACAAAGATATTACAGAATCTCAAATCTGTTCACTGGAGTAATGAAACTAGTGATGGGCCTGCTAGAATTCAGTTAAAAGAAAATTGGAATAATCTTTTAGAAATTATATCTTTTATGGAGGTTAATCATAATTACATTTACTAAGTTTTTGAAATTTTAGAAAAAATCAATTTATTTAATTAAATTTTATAATTTTTACAGAATATTGGAAGTCATATTTTTAAAGAATTAAATCAGAAAGCTTATTCATTTGGACTGCAAACATTTGAAGAATTAATGCCTGCAAGAAGTTATTGGAAAAAATCAAAAATTGGTAATATTTTGTTATAAAATATATATTATATATATAATGTTAAAATCTAGTTAATAAAAAGTCACCAAAAACATTATACTTTAATTTTTAATAAAGCCATATAAATTAAAAGCACTTTTACTTAAACTAACTAGGCTTCTTTAACAAACAACTTACAAAAATGAAAAACTGTATTTCATCAGAGTCTAATTAAATGTTAATTGTTAATTGAAAAAGCCTAGTTTAGGGTGACAATGTAATGTTTTAGAGTCTGAATGCCAAAATAGGAATATTTATGCATGATAAAGCTTTAGATTTTAGAAAACTAATTTTAAAGAATTGTAATATAATTATATACTTAGAATAAATTTTTTTAAAATGACTGAAAAAAGTGATGACGACAAACAATCCATTGGATTTTTTATTGGATTATATTTACACTAATTAATGATTCAAAACAAAGTTATTTG